TACCACAATGAAAATAAACTTTCAATTATACTATCTACAACTTTTTCATGGAGATAGCATCATTTCCACTGACTAAAATGTTACAGTATTGAATGTTTAACTTCCTCCTATCTCAACAATTTAGAATTATATTTTAGAAAAGTAACAGTTTAAAAACAGATTCTAAAATATTGCAAAAAGTATCTGTTTATATTATACAAACTTTACAGGTATAGCAGTTATTGGGGTGGGAATGCAGCAAACATACATATTTTATATATGTTCTAAATTTTATTTGGATCTATGTTTTCTTAAGAAAAAATATCTGCTTATTGAGTGTTTTGTATCTGAATGACAATTTATTATGTATTCAGTTAAATCTGGTAATTTATGTACATGCTGCATGCTTTGCATTTCCTTAATATCCCTTAGATTTAAATCAGCAGATATAAATAAATTGTATGTGTGCACACATACATGTATGCAAGAAAGAGACAGTCAGCACCCACTAGAGTATAAAGGAGAAGTACAAAGGCACACAAAGGAGAGAATATAAAATGTATACAATAATCTCAGAGAACATAATATATAAATCCTAAAAAAGAAAATTAAATGTAATATTTGAATCAACATTTACTTCTCTGATAAAAATATGCAGTTTCACTTGAGATTAAATAGTATCTATGCTTATGCTTACAATGAATCAATGACAAGTTTTCCTTACATGCCAACAATGCATTTCATAACAAGATCAACCTGTGATTCACTAGCTGTGATTGGTTGACTACTAGGATTTTGAAAAAGCCTCTTGGTTTTGCTTCCTGTCTGAGAATGCAAAAATTTGGGATTTGTCAGACATTTTTCAAGCCACAATAATTCTCTGCTGGGTTGCATTCAGGTTTTGAAGGTATGTCAAATATAAATATGCAGATATATGTGTAATAACATGGATCATCATTTTAGCAGTAATATACATAGAAATACGTCTCTTTGTTTTCAGTCGGCCTTATTCCAAATGTTAACATATCTTGTAAACACCTAGCTTTCATTCATAAGATGCCAGGTTTCAGGGTCAATTGTAGAACTTTAATGTCAGTTTAGAAAGTTGGGAGACCCAGAGTTCTAGTCCTGCCTTAGGGTGACCTTCGCAGGGAACTCCAGATCTTTAGAAAATGGTTATAAACCATTGTTTCACTACATGCTTTCCATTTATATCGTGTATGAGCATTGTACTACCTTTAAAAATTGCATGGAATCATCCCTAGACTAGTAAGAAAGGGGTTCCTCCCGCCCTTCTACAAAACTAAACAGTTGAGAACTTATTATAAAGATAAGAAAGGTTTGATTTTGGTAGTTTGGCACTCTCGTGACAGAGAAGTACAAGACTATCCTGGGTGGGGAAGAATATTTTAACCTGATTGCAGATAATTTTTTTGAAAGTAGTACTTCTATTACACTATATAGTGAAGTATTTATTTTCTTTTCTACAAGTAAATCACATTCAGTGCCTAACATTGCATTGTGTTCAGTCTGCTCAGGTTCTTCCTTTCTGATTGCCTCTTCCACTGAGCCTTCAGCAACGAACATTTTAGAATAGTGTGTGCACAAAAAACACAGTCAGAACTAAAATAAAAACTTTGGAGCATAGCAAAAATCATCACTATCCCAGAAAGCCAATGAGTATTTCAACAGAGAATAAGAATTCTTTACAATACAAATTGCTCTCTTTTGCCAAGTAGCATGACCTCTGTCATCTCATTTGGATGGGATTTATTTACTGCTACTGTTCAGCTAGAACTGATAATTCCTAGGGTTATTTTTTTAATACCATTCAAATAAACAGCTATTGTTTATAAGATTTTAATGTACTGCTGTTGATCTAGAATAAAATGTACTATGCTGCTAACCACAGCCTAGTAGGAGATTTTCTACCATACATATATTGCATATATTACATTGCAAAACTTGTAAGACATTAACTTTGTGATTTGAAGCAATCACCCCTTGAAGTCAAGAAACTTGTTTTCATTTTTAATATAGTGTTGTTAACAACCAACCAAACAAGCCTAGTAAGAATAAAACCTACTAAGAATAAATTATGTATTCATAGCTAAGTATGTGCAGGTATTTAGACTAGGATACTAAAAGTTGCAGCTTTCAGCATTTAAATAATTCATAAAACCTTTTACAAAATCTCTGGAGATATGTGTTGTCATGGTTTATGAGTTGGCTACAAGATAAGAAAACAAGTATAAGAATTAATGAGCAATTTTCACCTTGAAATGATGATATTGATCATCTCTGATCAATATTGGAGCGATTCCTTAAAAAATTATCTACAGTATATCAATGGCCAAGATTGTAAATAATCAATAGCATGGTAAAGATGGTCAGTGGTAAGCTGCAAATCATGTATTATTTAATTTAAGCAAGTGGAAAATAACGTATATAAATTTTAAAAACTCAGACTTCACACATACATTAGTAGGATAGAAACTGGTAATTAACTTGCCAGGAAGGGAATCTTAAGATGAAAAGCTCCATGATACGTTCGCCTGGTTTGTGACTCTGCTAAAAAGATACATTCCATGTCTGGAGTCCTTAAGATAGAAATTGCTGGAAAACATGCAGAAAAAGGACTGCCAAAGCAGCTAGGGATCTAGAGTAGTTTCCCTGGAAAACTGTGTTGTTGTTATTTTAGTTTTAAATGAAGATAGGTAAGGGAAGACATGCTAGAAGGAAATGAATATAGTAATAGAAAATAGAGGTAGAGAGAAATTTTTCTTCCTTTCTCCCTGTTAAACTTCAGAAATATCCTCTGTGATTAGAGGGAAAGGATATAAAAGGATATACTTCTTTCCTCAAAACCGTGCTTTATTTTGGACCGATGGCATGAAATGGGGTGAGGAACAGCAATTTAGAGCTTTACAAGGGGGCTGATGAATATATGGAGAACTGGTCTCTCAGTGATCACCAGTTTGGATGATTGTAAGCTACCTTTTGGAGCACACTGTTTAAACACCAGTTTCTAAGACACAAAAGTGGAAGAGAACAACTATTCTCCTATACCTGCATCTGGTTAGTCACTACGTGACCCACAATAGTGGAGTAGAAGAATTTTTGGGCTCATCCTTATTCCTAAATAAGGAAGAAATGCACAGAACAGGCATCGAGTAGTTGAATGCAAGCAACTTTTTAATACCACAACTCTGGAAGCTGGTTAAACTGAAACTTATTCTAGATCAGTGGTTCTCAACCTGTGGGTCGGGACCCCATTTGGGGATGAACGACCATTTCACGGGGGTCGCCAAACAACGCAGTCTGCCATTTTTTCCCCCTTTTCCTTAGCTGTGCTACTCCCTTTTATTCTATTGGCTTTTGAAAGCCAATAGAATAGACTCTCTTGAATAGAGTCTAATTCTATTGGCTTTCAAAAGCCAATAGGAATTGTCCAGGCTGTCTCTGCCCTGCTGAGCCCGCCAAAAGTCCCATTCTGCAAATGGTGCTGCACCAGTTGAGTAGTCCTCAACTTACGACTGGTTGGAGGTCGCGGCATTAAAAAGGTTGAGAACCATTGTTCTAGATGATACGGGAGTATGTTTAGTCCAGAGATATTCAGATTCTAGAAGGACTTCAAGCTGTTTTAAATGGGGAGGTGATCTCCTGAAAGAATCAGGTTCATGACTTAAAGATGCCCCAAAGATGTTGTGTACATACTTACAGATCACACTGTATACTTGCAAGGGCTACATCATTTTTACTTTTGAATTCTAATCAGAATTCAAGGCATCAGTGACGCAAAGACTTAGAATTCTTTGAAGATCAAAATCTGGTGGAGATCTATCATCTCTATCTCTCTACATAAATATATGCAAACACAGACACATATTTTAAAAAATGAGGTGTCCAGGTTATGGCAACTCTAGTTAAAATTTATGTGCTCATTACAGAATGCCGTGAGGTAGTTGTAGGAGAATAATGTTGGGAAAACCAAGAAGGCAAATTCCACCCCTGACACTATAAATGAGTGCCCTACAAATAAGTAATATATGAATAGACTACAGTGAAAATTGATTGCCTAGGGTCCAGACAGCCTTCTTCAAAGAAAGTATGTTTTCAGAACTTCAATTGACTAGATCTGCAAACAGATGCCAGTTACACAAAAGGGAACTTTTTCTAAAGTTCTAAAACTTTAGCTATGCAGTGTAGACAATCTAGTTTGGCTGTATTCAATAAGCTGCTTATAATTATTATTATTTATTTTTAACCAACAAAACAAAACAAAGCAAAACATAACATACATACACGCACAATCTATACTCCTCTCCCTTTTTTTTTACAGCGATTGCGTAACGGTAATCTATTATTTACATTTCCCCCCTTATTCTTCTTTATAAGCTGCATGTGAATTTTAAATAACTATTTATTAAATTTATTTCTTTTTTTTAATGAACCATCATTCTTTTTAGAATTTCCTTACTTCTCTGTACATAATATTTTACACAATGAAATCCATTTTGGCTAGCAAACTGAAGAAATGTCTGTAACTTTAAGTGCTGGTTGATTCATAATTATGGTTTATAATTTGATATTGGAATAATTTTATTTATTTATTAAATTTATATGATACCCATCTTACTGTCCAAAGTGACTCTCGGCACTGTACATTGGATACATGTGTTAAGGTAATATTTGAGGGAAATTACTATGTTATGCAAGTTATCCTAAATAAATATACCCCACTGGAATAGTCAAATATATTTTATCAATACATGAAAGTGATCCCAAGGATGAACATTTTTTTCAGATTTTATTGTAAGGCCTTTTAATTTTGATTTCAAATCAGAAAGAATAATCTAAAAGGTCCCAGTAATCAATACTACAAAAATAAAAACTATCCCCAGGTAATTTACATTTGCTTATGCTTTTATTTGGCAACATCCTTTTCCAGTTTGAAGCAACAGAAGACCTACAATCATTGATTACCATGGTCTGTACAAGCCCATGGCTCTGTCTCTTACCTGTAATCTGACTCTGTCCTTGTGGATTAAAAGGGCTTGGTGCAGAGTTCAAGGGGGGCCGTGGGCTCTGAGTCGGGACCCCTACTCTCATACTGGAATGAGGAATGCGCCCTAAATCACTGAGACGCTCAGAGAACAAACTAGGTTTAGAGTCATCAAGCTTCTGTCTGTGCCCTGGAAACAGCAAATCATAAAATAAAAGGGTGGTTAGCATGACAAGTACTATTAAAGTGCTTTATTTATTATTGCGAGACCAAAGAAAATTCAGATTCAATCTGCAGTGGGTGCAGGGAGCAAAGTATGGGTTACTTCACTCACTATAGAATTGGTACAAGGAAGGCACTTGTATTGCTATCCAGGCATAGGACAAATCATTGCAGTTTTTATAGCAATTTATATCAGAACAATACAACTAATTGTTTAAAAGCAGGAATTTTATAAAATGTAAAGCTTTTCTTCAATTTGCCACTTCAGATGCAACTATTATGTCCTGACTATGGAGCATCTGTAGAAAGGCACCAGCTAATAATGAGGCATGAGAAAAAATGGGTAAATTACAGTAGTCCACAGAGATACAGATTGACAGAGAAAGATAGAAAATTCCCAATTTGGTTAAAACATGTGGTGTTTAAAAATGAGTAAATATAATTTTATAATAATTATTTTTCTAGGCCTTTTGAAGGAGAAGAAGAAGATGTGCATTGTTGAAGGAAGAATTTTAAAAACTGTCACTTATTATAGTCAGAGGTGTCTGTGGAAGCTCAGTCTGCATGATTAAAGTCTTGCCCCCTTTTGTATGTGCATATTACATTGAACACACATAAGAAAAGGACAAGACTTTGATTGGATAGTCATGGTTGCGATCTTGACTTTTTTTTTTATCTCATCTGTGGATTGTCCTCAATATAGCTGTTAGTCTCCATATGTCCTCTCAGTCTCATTTTGACTTTTAGTTTTCTGCTGTTGATTCTCCTCATTCCTATTTCCATGTCCGTGTAAATAAAATAGTCACTATCTATGACAGTTCAAAATTAAGTTCATGGGAGACTTCTTCCAAATTATTGTGTGTAAGACTCATAACTCTTTTATCCATTACTACATGGCAAGATACATTTAATATTTCACTCTTAGAATTCATTGGCCTCACCCCCTGTACTGAGGCTTTCCATGCATGTGGTAAACTGAGCTGGGCAAATGCAATTGATACTTTTCTACCAGGCTATTTTCTATTTTCTCCTGGATGGGCTAAAATAACATTTTAGCTTTTATTTTTGTTTTGGAATAGTTGTTGAACGCCATAGTAATATATCATATTTAAGAAGTGTCAAATCAGATGTTCAACAACATGTTATCATTTATTCTCAAATGATGCAGGGATTCTTCTATTAAGGGTTCCTGCCAATTAGTAACCAGTATTCTTACATTCTTACTCAACTCTGAGTTCCCCCTCTGCTCTTCCACACTGTTTTTTTCTTTCCGATAGAAATACAACTGTTTGTTAATATTCATCATATTTAATTGTAACTGGGTTTTGGGGTGAGGTTGAAGAAGCTTGCCTCTTGAGGTTTTTTTAATTGTACTTTGGCAGATATCAGCTTGTTTTTTGTGCTCCTTCATAAAAAGCCTTATTTTGCTGCATTTTTATTGGCACTTGCTACTTGAAATCACTTTTAGCAAAAGACTTCACTGAACTAAAAGTCTACCAGGTTCTCAATGGCCTTGATTCTCCTCTGAGTACCTGAACTGAAGAATGATTTTACTATAGACCTTTTAACTTCATTTTCTGAATCATCAATTAAGCAATGCTGCAAAAACAGCTAGTTCTTGCTTACCGACTGCTTGTTCATCAATTGTTCAAGTTATGACAATATTGAAAAAGAAGATTGACCACTAGTCTTTGAATTTGTGGCCACCGCAGCGTCCCCACAATCCCATGACTGCAATTTGGGTGCTTGGCAACTAACCACATTTATGATGGTCACATCATTCTGAGATCACATAATCACCATTGAAGGCCTTCACAGCCAGCAGTAAATGAGGAAACTGGTAGGAAGTCACAAGTTGTGGTCACATAACATTGTTCCTAATGACTGAGTGATTTTTTTCATGACCACAGCCAGTACTGATATCGTAAGTCAGGCATGATCACATGATCTTTCACTTTATGACTAAGCATTGCTTAGCAAATGAGTTGCCAGTCACAATTGTGGTCAGTAAGTGAGGACTACATGCACTACAATATTAGCAAGAGTTTCTAACAAGACTGCTAGTACTACTTGTATGAAAAATTACTAATTTTTAAATACTTTTTAGAAATGCATTACCAATAGGGAAACTAAGTCAATTTACAAATGTAATCAAGCATGAGTAATGCTAACTATAATTTTCTGCAACTGCAAAGCCCTTCCGTTAGGTGATACCTTGCTAAGAAACAAGATAACAATGTAACAAGCATCAAAGATGGAGAATGTCTGGTTCAACAAACATCTCAGCTGGATACTAACCAGATACTAACCAGCCCTAGAACACGCTGCCTGGAATTTAGTTATTAAAACTAAACATTGTTCAAATACGAATGTGTATCCTATGCAAAAAACAAAACAAAACCCTAATTTAGCTTCTCAGCAATCTTCCTACCCCATTGCACCATATGATTTTGTGGAATAACGACAAACCAGGACATATTCCAGTGGGAAAATTTGGGGAAATCATTTATAAAATATAGGGGGGCATAAATAAGTAAGACCATTTTGAAGTCATAATGCTCTTGCTATAGGAGCACAATATATGGCAAAAGTACTGATCTAGGCAATTTGTAAAGTGTTGTTTTTTTCCTTGGGGCCACTACCTGTATCACGTAATGTGGATACTAGAATCCATAATAAATGGACTGATGCCTGCAATTAGCTCTATCCTCCTAATTGCATTGACTCAACATTACAACTATTTTACAGTTTATTCTTTGTGAGATAATACAGTTTCAGAATATCAGTTGCTTATATTTATATTAAGAGATAGTATTGAATCAAACGGTTTTAGGAAATCTTTTCATGCAGAAAAATTAAGACAAGCAATTAATACAGCTTGTATTAGAAGAGAACTTCCAAATAAATCAAAATAACTTATTTTCCCCTCAAATGCATATAATCCTCAATTTCTGACCTGTCATTTAACCATTTGAAGTTATGTCAGATTTAAAAAAAGTTACTTAAGACACATCCTTGAAGTTTTGACTGCCATACCACCCTCACAGTCATGAGATTGCATTTCAGCATTTGGCAACTGGCTTGCATTTACAACCAGTTCAAGTCACCCAGAGTCACGTGATCGTATGTTGTGATTTATTACTATTATTATTTTGCCATTTTCCAGGAAAAGTTGCATTCTGACTTATGATCACGTGGTTCTTTAATGACTTTCGTAAAAATGGTCTTTAAATCAAGTCCAGTCATGCATTAACTTATGACTAAACTACACACTTAGTTGTGGTCGTTAAGTCAAGGACTGCCTTTATGTAATGATTTATGATACCCTAAAAACTAAGTATAGCAATGGGTAAAAAGGTAGAATTATATAGTTAGTGGACTTTTAATGAAATAATAGAAGTTTGATTAATTTGATTAATTTAATCTAAAACCTAATTTAATTAAGTTACATATCTTATTTTGACAGAATAATTATTGCTCTTTCTCTATGAAGCTGGGCCAGTCACTCTCTCTCTCTCTTAGTCCAACTCTCCTCACAAGGTTGTTGTTATGGGGAAAATAGAAGGAAGGAGCATTAGTGATGTTTGTTGCCTTAAATTATTTACAAAAATAATAAAAGTGGGATTAAAATAAATACTAACATTTATTTGCAATTATAATGTCTTTAATTTAAAGATGCAATTCTATTGTTTATCTCTCTCTCTTATACAACATAACAAATCCATAGTAAAGCAATGTTAAGAATGTAGACTTGTACATTTTTCTCTAATGGACAGATTTTTTAATTTTTTAAAAAAAAAGATAGACAGTAAAGTGGCAGTCAAGGAAGAGAAAAACAAGCTAGGGATGAAAATGACACCCACAAAGCTAGAGGGGAGCTTTTTTTTTTGCATGGCATAATGTCTTCCTGCATAATACACATGCTAAACACGTGGCTCAAATCTAATTTGGCAACAGTTAAAGGAACAGACCAAAAGATGTAATGACAAAATAAGCTTGCTGAGCTATTACCCAAGTGTAAAAAGCTGTATAGTGTGATGAAGACAAAACTTAGGATATATTTTATTAAGGAAATGATGATGATGATGATGATGATGATGTCCTGGGATAGGACTCGATAGGTAGACAAAATGCCAAATCCAGTCTGAACATCTGGCTGACTGTGCGATGATCCATAATAATAATAATAATAATAATAATAATAATAATAATAATAATAATAATAATAAAAAAAAATCTATCACCTTTGGAGGTGATAGATTTATAATGAGGTAAACAATAAGGATTTACGTTAGAAGATACAAATGTTTTATCTGAAAAAGCTTTATAGATTCCTCACAATTTTGCCAGCAGGAGACAGAGTAGTCTGCACTTCTAGAAAATAGGAATTTATCATAAATCATATGGATTCTTTGAGGTGTTTATAGAATGGCTCAGCCATTGTTTGGGATTTACATGGGTAGAAATATTCCCATATTTCTATTTCTTCAGTATTTATTTTATTATTTATTAAATTTATATATCACCCATTACAAAATTATTAGAATTAGGAAAAATTAATAAAACAAAGACTAAAAACCAAGAGAGCAGGAGACCGGGATAGGGATCTTTGCTACAGTCTGTTATCCACCCCCAGCATAGACTGCCCCATCAGCGTATTAGGATGTTATATATTAGGATTATTATATTATTACATTAGGTATAGGATTCACATTCCACATATCATTTTGCAGAAATCCCAAATGTTTTTATGGTCAACTATAGTATATCCCTCATTCCATTTGTTACACAAGGTGAGGATTATTATTATTATTATTTTTGCAGTTGTATTTTGTAGTTGTAAGTTCTTTAAAATGTAAATGTGTCCAGCATTGCAATATGTAATTGAAGATTCTGTGTTGCTGGCTAATTTAGATTTTGACAGAGTGAAGAACTTCAAGCTGCAAGACTAAGACATAGGCAGTTTGC